GTGTGTGTGTGTGTGTGTGTGTGTGTGTGTGTGTGTGTGTGTGCACGCGCGCACATGTAGGTCCTTTTTCCTTCTTTATGATCTTTGGAATATAGACCTCGTATTGGTATTGCTGGATCGAAGGGTATGCACAGTTTGGTTGCCCTTTGGGTGTATACTCTCCAAAATTGTTGGATCAGTTTACAACTCCATCAATAGTGCATTGGTGTCCCAATTTTCCCTTTTTTTAATGTTTTTAACAGCAATTGATCTTATATTTTGTCAAAAGCTTTTTCTGTATTATAATTGATTTTTTGTTCTTATTAATATAGTCAATTATGTTGATAGTTTTCCTAATATTGGACAAACTGCTGCATTTCTAGTATAAATCCAATATGATTATAATGTATAATCTGTGTTATATTTCCTTACTTATTTTTATTGAAAATTTTTGCATTAGTATTTAGTAGAGATATTGGTCTAAAGTTTTCTTTCTCTGTTTTACTCTTTCTGTTTTAACTATCAAGACCATATTTGTATCATAGAAAGAATTTTATAGGACTCCATATTTTTCTGTTTTTAAAAATAGTTAATATAACAGTGGAAATGATTGATCATTAAACATTTGATAAAATGTGTTTGGAAATCTATTTGGTCCCAGGTTTTCTTTTTTTCTTAATTTTTTTTTAACTTTGGCAATTCAATTTCCTTTTTTTAAAAATAAGATTGAATTTTAAATTCCTCTGTTTCTTGTTCTGCTAATAGAGACATTTCATATTTTTGTAAATATCCATCCTTTTCACTTAGGTTTTCATTTTTGTAATACATGATTGGGTAAAATACTATCGAATAATTTATTTCTTCATCAATTGTGAATTTATCATTTTCCAGTTTAATACAAGTAATTTGGTATTCTTCTTTCTTTTTTTTAATCCAATCAGCTTCTAGTTTATAAATTTGTGTAGCTTTTTTGCTTTCAATTTTATCAATCTCTTATTTGATTTTCAACATTTCTATTTTGGTGCTTAATTATTTTTTTTTTATTTGTTTTCTATTTTTTTTTTAGTTGTATCCCCAATTTGTTGATCTTTGTGAAAATGTTTAGAGGTATAAATTTCCCTCTAAGGATTGCTTTGTCTACATTCCAAAATTTTGGCATATTGTCTCATTGTATTTATGAACTTTTCCATTGTGCAGTTTTTTTCTTTGACCCATCTTTCAATAAAAGATTAAGTCTTTTAGTCTCCTATTAATTTTTAAAATTTCTTCAGCTCTTTTTTGAATATAAGTTTTTGCATTATGGTCAGTAAAAAATGTGATAGTTTTGCTTTTCTGAATTTTGAGAAGTTTTTATGTATTAATATATGATCAATTTTTTTGTAAAGGTGTCATGCATAGCTGAGAATTAAATACATTCCTTTCTGTTCCTTTTAAGTTAGTTTTGTCTGGCCCTGAAAGGGAGTACATTGTGATCTCCTGTTTTGCTGAGTATTTCTCTCTGTAAGACATAGCTTCTCCTTTTAAGTATTTAGATCTTATACTATTGGGTGCATATATGTTATACATTGATAATAATTTATTATCTATGGTACATTTTCTAAATATGTAATTTATCTCTTAATCAAGTCTGTTTTTGTTATTGCCTTGTCAGAGAAACCTATTTTTTAATTTCAACTGAAGCATAGTATATTTTGCTTCAGCTTTATCCCCTTACTTTAATTTCTTGCAAATCTTTATGTTCAGTTATGTTTCTTGTGAACCAACATATTGTCAGATTCTATAATCCAATTTGCTGTCCTCTTCCATTCTATGGGTTTATCCCATTCGCATTTGAAGGTATGATCATTAATTTTGTATTTTCCTCCCATCCTCTTCTTTTATACTTTTTCCTTTTTTTTCTTCTCCCCCCTTTTCCTCAAGCAGAGCCCAGTCACAGATTCTTATCTTTTCTCTTTTTCCCTCGTCACAGTTCACCTCCTGAGATTAGAGTTTGTTTTGCTTATGACTGATACCTCCCTGAATCTATCCTCCTCCTTACCCTGTCCTCTGTCTCCTCCCCAAGCAGTCATTCAATCTATAAACATTTATCAAGTGCCAGTTATGTGTCAGATACTGTGGTAAGCACTGGGGATACACAAAGAGGCAAAAGATATTCCCTGTCCTCAAGGGGCTTGTAGTCTAAGGGGGAGAGACAAAATGCAAAAAAAATCTACAAACCAAACTATATGCAAGATAAATAGGAAATAATTAAGAGAGGTGAGGTACTAGAATTAAGAAGGGTTGGGGAAGGCTTCCAATAAAAGGTAGAATTTTAGTTGGGACTTAAAGGTAGCCAGGGAGGTCTCTGGTTGGAGTGGAGAGGGGGAGAGACATGTCTGGAGCAGAGAAATGGATTGTCTTGTTTGTAGAACAGCAAGGAGGCAGAGGTCACTGAAATGAAGAATATGTGACAGAGAATAAGGTATAAGGAGACTGAACAGGTAGGAGGGGGCTGGGTTATAAAGGGTTTTGAAGCCAAACAGCATTTTGTATTTCATCCAGGAGACAAGAGAGCCACTGATGTTTGTTGAATAGGGGAGGTAATATGATTAGATCTGCACTTAACACTTTAGCTACTGAATGAAGGATGGGTTGGAGTAGAGAGAGAGACTTGAGGCAGGCAGACCCAGCAGGTTATTAAAATAATCCAAGTATGAGGTGATGAGGGCTTGCACCAGAATGATGGCATTGTCAGAGGAAAGAAGGAGGCATATTCAAAAGATGGTGCAAAGGTGAAATCAACAAGCCTTGCAAACATACTGGATCTGGTGGGGTGAGAGGTAGTGAGGAGTCAATTTCTTGGTTGTGGGACAGAAGGACTGGGAGGGTGGTGTTGTCCTCTATAGCGAGAGGGGAAGGGTTTAGAGGACAAGATAATGAATTCCATTTTGGACATGTTGAGTTTGAGGTGTCTACTGGCCATCCAGTTCAAGATGTCTGAAAGGCAGTTGGAGATGTGAGATTGGAGGTCAGCAGAGATGTTCAAGCAGGTTAGGTGGATTTGAGAATCATCAGCATAGAGATAGTAATTAAGTCTATGGAACTGTTGAGATCGCCTAGCAAAGCAGTATAGGGGTAGAAGAGAAAAGGACCTAGGACAGAACCCTGAGGGACAGTTACGGCTAGAGGATGGTGATATGGGAGAGGAACCAAAAAAACAAAACAAAACACAAAACATATGATGTAGTGCAGAAAATTGTTATAATGACACATGGATTAGAGTGGTTACAGATAGTGTAATATCACATCAATTAAATTATTATTTAATTAAATATCAATATTTTTATGGATGACTTTAGACAATAGTGACTTCTGAGACCATTACTCCAAACAAAAAAGATGAGTGAAAACTTTGACTAACACAAAAATTTTCTGAGTGAGATCATACTTCTTTTTAACACTGGTGATTTGTACCCCATTTATTCTAACAGTGATGGGGATATGCTGACTGATGAAAGTGATTTTCTTATCCTTGCTTTTTGCTTTCCTCTTTTTTTAATGTGAAATTTAAATGCTTACAATATAAATATTTGGACTGGGAGTAAATGCTTAAGTTCATGTAATGTGTAATTCTGACAATACTTCTAAAGTTCAATATTTGATTAGCATTATAAAAATTCATTGTAACAAGTCAGTTATCTGAAATGTAGAAATTAATTTTAAATTGAAATTTGTTGATGCTTTTCACATATAGCTGATTTTGGTTTTGTTTTCTTCTCATTTTAGAAAAGGAGACGGAGGATTGACCGAAGCATGATAGGCGAGCCAACAAACTTTGTTCACACAGCTCATGTAGGATCAGGTGATCTGTTCAGTGGAATGAATTCAGTAAGCATAGTTTTGACATACGTTATAACATACTTGATTACTGAGAGCCAAAAGATGGAATCTGTGTGATGATTTAAATATTCTCTAATTAAATTGTAAAGTTTGAAGACAATATAAAAAAGTATATATGACGTAGGCAAATGTGTATCACTTAACCATTCTAACTCATATCCCTTTTATATATTTTTCTGACTCTCCCCCTTCAAACGCTTTGCTTCTTCCTCTGCAGCCACATTGCTGCCTCATTCCTTTAATATGGGAACATTGAAACATTAAAAGATCTGAGTTCAGAAGGGAAGCTACAACCCTTTAGGGGTTGCACTGGGAGCAAACTATTGTTTGCCATAGTTAAGAGTTTAAAGTAGCTAAACTGTGATTTTGAAAGTCACTACTTCAGAGAGCAACAATTTTAAATAGTTCCTCCTTTATATGCTCTATTTGCTGTCTTTGATTTAAGTGTCTTTTATGCAAACATTACTATAGAGTTTATTTCCTAAGTCTACTTCTGCCTGTCCTTGTGTTATTATTAAGAAATTTTTGAGTGATACATTTATCACCACAGGGCAAATTGTGATGCCATAAACAGACTATTAGAATTTTCACTTACCCTTTCATCCATGAGAGCAAACAACCTATGGGGAACAAAGGTATCATACCTGTCAGTAGGATACATAGGATGCGGAATGTTTTAAAAAAAACAAACCACAAGTAACTTAAACATTTTACTTTTATCTGGAATATGTTTTAGCTCAAATAGAAAGAAAATACTATATTTTAATCTTTAGATGTTTTAGGGACCTCAGAACTGAGGTCCCTGTCAGAGGTGTATGCAAAAATCCCAGAAGGCATTTCACTCCAGTTGTGCTACCTACCATTGCATTTTAGTGTTTTATGTGGAACCATGCTATATAATTGTTAGGAGCCAACAGTTTCATTTCCATAAACATGCTTCCAAACAAGACGAGAGAAAGGAGCTTGATTCTTCTTTCAGATGAAGTTTACTGAGGGGCTGATAACATGGATGTCCAATTATATATGGCTCTTTTGTAACCATACATATATGTGGAATTCGTTTTTCTGAACGAAGTTATTGCTAATCCTAAACTTTACCCTTTTATAGTAACTCAAATTTTCATTTGAGTTCCTCATTTTATGAGTACTAAAAAACACAGGGCACAGGGCTAGGAATCAGAAGACCTGGGTTGTGCTTCTAGCTCCTCTGTTAGCTAATTACATGACCCAAGTCAGTTCAGTTTCTGGATTTCTTTTTTTCACTTAAAAAATAAGATGATTGAATTAGTTGGATGTCTTAAGTTCCTTTTCAGTCCTGACTTTCCAACACCTCCATTTTTTCAGATGAGAAAAGTAATGCAGGATATTTTTTCCTGCTCCCAAATTGTGACTCCTTTGTTTGTCACCTTGGGAAGGGAAAAAAAAAGACCTAATTAGGGAATGGTGGCTTTTTTGTAAATTGACAGGTGGGAGTTTAGGCTACTGCTTATCAGAGCGTGTAAGTTTGCCACATCAATTGCTATATAAGCAAAGGGATACTGTTTGTAGCTTCCTGGAAAGAAAGCAGTTTGTTCACTTTTAAATTCGCACGAAAAGTACTTGGTTTTACCTGACTACTTTTAGGAATGAGCAGGAGATGTTACATTGCCATCAAGATACAGTGCTATGATAACCTTTGAACTCTTGCCTCTATATAGAACATCTGTTTCTTTTTATAGTGTAGTCATCTATGCCATTTGTGAATAGTAAACAAATGACTTTTAATTCATTGGATGTGTGTTTTTCTCCTCATTTCTTTTGATAAGAAATGCCCCCAGCTCAGACAATTTGAAGTGTACTTCTGAATTGAACCCCACTTTATGACTTTGACTCTGGTTTTGTTTCTTTGTTTGAGTTTTATGTGCATGGCCTTCTCAGAAGTGTATGCAAAAATCCTAGAAAGCATTTCACTCCAGTGGCACTACCTACCATTGCAATTTTGAGTTTTATGCTGAACCATGGTATATAATTTTTAAGAGGCAAGAGTTCCATTTCCATAAACATGCTTCCGAAGAAAATTAGACAAGGGAGCTTAATTCTTCTTTCAAATGAAGTTTACTGAGGGGCTGACAACATAGATGTCCAATTATATATGGGTCTTTTGTAACTGTACATATATGTGGGATTCATTTTTCTGAATGAAATGTTTGTTAATCCTAAAAACATTTTTTCCCCCATTAGCTAAATAGGAACTTGCTTGGAAGAGGTAGAGTACTCAGCAGGTTGCCTAAATGCCTTAGAAAAGTGATTCTTTCTGGCTTCAGCTTAATTTACAGGAACAATTATGTATCTTATGTTTTATATAGTCACAGTTTAGAGATCATGCAAAGCAACATTCTCATTTTTACAGGTGAGAAAACTAAGGCCCAGAGAGGTTAAGTACTCAATATTACACAAATATTAAGGGTCAGAGAGCAAATTTGAAGTTAATTTCTTTAACTGCAATTCTATTGTCCATTGTACCATAATCTCAAAAGTGGAATCAAAATATGGAGCATTCAGAGGACAATGGAGAGATACATAAATATAAGTACTTTGCAAAAAGTATGAAGGATATGCTTTTTTTCTCAAAAAGAAAATATTTTAACTTAATATTTGTAGTTTTCTGTCTTGAGAAAATAAGAAATATTTAGTCAGCCAGCCTTAAATAGCTCTTAGAAAGTAGTATTTACTAAAGTGTACAATAAGGTCAGTTAGTACAATCCTTCCCACCACCAATGCTGTGACACACTCTCCCACAAATATGTAAGAGTCTTGAGGAAAGTGAGAGTTCAGTTTTAGATAGCATATAAGGCAAAGGGGCAGCTTACAGCTTCAGGTTGCTTGAAATCCTCTTCTATCATTGACGAAGTGCTCAGAGAGTTTCCCTTAATCGTGCTATAGTTTCTTTCCTGGGCTCCTTATGAAACCATTACTCCGTTCATTCTGTCCTTAGCTTCTCAACACAGATCCTGCTGCCATCAACTGATCTGAGGATGCTACTAGGACAATTGGAGGTGGATGGGAAATCCATCATCCTCTGAATTCTTTGGAGCTCACAAGATAACCCTCTATCCAAAGGGGAGGGGGAGAAGACCTAGCAGAGATGGGGAACCTGTGACTTTCTGGGTCCTTGGGTATGGCCTTTTGACCGAGCCAAAGTTTTACAAAACAAATCCTTTTATTAAGGAGATTTGTTCTGTGAAGTGTGGATTCAGTCAAAGGCTGCACTTGAGGACCTAGAGGACCACATGTGGCCTCCAGGCTGTAGGTTCCCTGCCCCTGGCTGAGCCAAGGCCAAAGCTGAAGCCTGTCCTTTGCACTCACTCCCCAGTCAGTTCCTCCTTAGAGGTTTGTTGAAACACTCTCTCTTCTACTATAACTCCCCATTACAAGCTAATGTTAATACTTTCATATAGGATCCAGAGGTTGTGATGAAATCCCTCAGCCAATTGAAACAGACTTCCTGTCTGGAATCATTTCATTCAACAAATGGCTGTCAATAGACTTCTCACATCTTGTCTAAGGCAGGGGTTCTTAATCTGGAACCGTGAAGTTTGTTTGTTTACTTTAACTATTTTGATAATTGTATTTCAATAGAATTGGTATCTTTTTTTAACCCTATGTAATTTATCTTATGCATTTACAAACATTATTCTGAGTTTGGTCCATAGTCTTTACTGGACTACCAGATGAGTTCATGACTCCAAAATAGTTAAGAATCCCTGGTGTAAGATCTATGATTGAAATTAGTTGATTGATGATATCAAGTGGGATAAGATGTGATGACTTAATTGAGTAAATTCAACCTACCTTACCCACAAATATATTTTGTTCACCTTCATTTCCATAAATATTTCCTACCCCCAATAACTTTTTTCAAATTCCTTTTGTGTTAAAGAACAAGATGTTCTAATTTTAATCTATACCCCCAGAGTAATGGTATCAGAGATCTTGATTAAAACTAAAGAATTCTTTATCCCACAGATTTCTTATCATTTTTTTTATTATGTGTAGTTTATTTTCTTAAATCTTAAATTTAACATAATAGCAACAAAACGACCCACCCTGTTTATGTCCCCTTCTGAACTTCACCATCCTTTTTTCTGTGTATTAAAAAAATGCTTCATTGACAATTTTCCTTCTTCTATACTACTCTTGCTATTCACCAACCCCTCTTCCCAACCCTGCTATCCACATTAGAAGCCCTTATTTATACCCTAAAGTTCAGTCGAACAAAGTAAGTCAACACATTGACTATGTCTGAAAATGTCTGTCTCATTCTGCATCTCTTGGCCTTCACATCTCTACCAAGAGGTGGGAAACGTGAGTCATCATCAGTGTTTTAAAGACTGATCACTGCATCCATCAGTGTTCTGAAGTCTTTAAAAGGCGTTTTTCTTCACCTTATTGTAGCATCGTACAAATTATTCACTAGCTTGTGCTCACTTCAGTGGGCATCAGTTTATAAGTTGACCCAGGGTTCTCTGAATTCATCCCTTTCGTCATTTCTTTTGGTGCAGTAGTATTCTATTATGTGTGTAGAGCTTAATTTGTTCAGCCACTCCCCAGATGATGGGCATTCCTTCAGTTTCCAGTCCTTTGATACCACAAAAAGAATTGCCTGAAATATTTTTGCCTAGCAGAGGTAGCTAGGCGGCTCACTGGATAGAGTACCAGGCATAGAGTCAGGAAGACTTGAGTTCAAATCCAGCCTCAGACACTTAGTAGCTGAGTGACCTTCGACAAATCACTTAAACCTTTATTTGCTTCGGTTTCCTCATCTTTTTATGTCTCTCTTGAGTCTTGTAGTTGAAGATCAAATTTTCTGTTGAGCTCTGGTCTTTTTATCAGGAAGGTATGGAAGTCCCCTATTTCATTGAATATGCATCTCTTCCCCTGAAAGATGATGCTCATTTTCGCTGGGTAGTTAATACTTGGTTGTAATCCAAGCTCCTTTGCCTTACGAA